TGAATCACAAAGTATTGATTTTTAATTAAATTTGCCTAATTAGCAAAACCAAATTACATTACAACATTAATAAAAGCGTTGTAAGCGTAACTGTAAAATTGAACAAAAAAAGTAGTTATGAAAAAGCTCTCTAATCGCTTTTGCATTTACAATCATTACTGTAATTTCTCTCGTGCTTTTCTTTAATTTAGAATCTGTTAAAGTACTTAATAGCATAGTGTACAATTTTCTCATTTTAGGAATTTTCTGCGACATATAAAGGGCTTAAACAAAGCTTATAGTTGTGTTTTCGATTGCTCTCACCAATTGCTTTTAATATGCCGAGTAGTTTATTACAGTTGACTCTAAGACTTTTCGCTAAAAGATGCAGGTTGATTTCGAGATATTATATTTCTTGGTGTACCAAATCTCAAAGTCAAGCAAAAATGAGATGATAGTATTGATCGTAACTGTATTGAAAACTGTGTAGGAAAGTCTCGGAAAAATTTGGCGCATTTAATCAGAGTTGTTAAATGTTAAAATATTTGATAATATTTGCATAAGCTCTTGGTAGATTCTTAATTTCACTGTAGAATAGTGACAAATGGATAATGAATATGTTTTCTATGACTAAGCAAAGCACATACTGGCCAAAATCAACAAATAATATGTAATAATGAATACTAATAAATGAATAAATTATGGTTCATTGGAATAAAAATCAGATAGAAAAAACACATCTTTTATTATAATAAATGTTGAAATTGTTTTCCATATGCATGGATATATGCCCTATACTCTTTTGATAAATATCTATTTATTAGCCGGGCATATCTTCGTGTGAGTCGATCTCTTCGGCAATTTGAACTTTATTTTACGCTCTTAGTGGGCTTTGAATTACGATGTTTCCCAGATTTAAATCTCCTTAATTCCTCTATCGCAAGGTAAGTTGTTGGACACCCGGTATATATACTTATATATATATATATATATATATATATATATATATATATATAACAAATGTATTCTGAGTGGATAGATAGATATTAATTTAGAAATATGAACAAACAACACTCTTTTTTTCACTAATTTATTAAATAATAATTTCACAAACGTTTCGAGACTAGGTTTGTCTCATCATCAGTGTGTTATAAATTTAAAATGCATTACTAATCTTAATAGATACGACTATTCGTTATGGAAACCAATAAAATCTTTGATAAAACCAATCCATTTTAACGCCGCAATAAGAATGGAATCATCATAATTAGGTGAATGGGCCTAAAGTGACAAAGAAAAGGCAAATTTGTTTGCAAATTATTTATCAAATGTGTTCACTCCAAATGATGACATTATTGACAACGATGTAAGGAATGCTCTAAAAGATAAAAGGAAGGATCTTGAAAGAATTGTCAAGAAAAGCAATTGTTCTGCTGACATATATTTATAATGCTATATTTAGATTGAGATATTGGCCAAAATGTTTTAAAATTTCAGATGTTATAATGATTTTAAAACCAGTAAAACCAGCTTCAAATATCACAGACCAATCAGTTTACTGTCAATTCAACTATATAATTTGAAAAGTGGCTCAAAAGTGGAAGATTAAAATAAATGAAACAAAATCTAGCCATATAACCTTCACTACCCATATATCGACTGGACTGTCCAAGCGTAAAAATAAACAACATAGAAATACCAAAATATGAAAGCGTAAACTACCTTGGGATTCATCTCGATTGAAAGTTAAGCTGGTCAACGCACATCAAAATGAAAAGAAAACAGATCAAGAAGAAGTTCAAAGAGTTGTATTGGCTAATTTACAATAGTTCAAATATGTGCTATGAAAACAGACTTCTTTTATATAAACAATAATTATCCCTATCTGGACATACAGAATTGAGCTATGCGCAAGTAATTCAAATATAAAAAAAATACAAATAGCGCAATCAGAAATTTTAAGATGCATTGTGAACGCACCCTGGTGTGTTACAAATGACACCCTACATAAAGACCTAAAAATAAAAACTATTAATGAAATGATAAAAGACAGAAGCAACAAATACCACGAAAAACTACCAGGTCACCCAAACATATATTTAAAAGAATTAAGCGAGAAATATCCCACACGAAGATTGAAAAAAAATGGCCATACGATCTTAAATAAAATATCAAAAAATAAAAAAAGATAGATATCTCATAGAAGATAATCTCTTCAATGCATTAACACCCAGCATATTGTCTTGAAAAATGTATATTATTTTGATTGACAATAAAACTATGCAAATAATTCATCGTCTGTTTTTGTAATTTATAGCATAAGATATAAGTATTGGAAATTGCAGTCTTTTACACAGTATAACAAATTCAGAAATAATTAATATATAGTATCCGCTTCAAAAATAATAGCTTCAATAATGCTGCCCATAATTCTCATAATCTCGTACTTTATATTAATTGTTTTCAATAATAATAATATCTAAATTACATTTTTTAATTATAATTCGATATATATTATTACTTATTTGCATTTTGGAATCTATTGAACTAAGTTAATACTAGATGAAATACGATTAATTTTAATTTTGGAGGTAATGGCACTCATAAAACTATTTGATATAAATGAAAAAAAAAAACATATCCTTAATAGTACACATTTTTATAGCTTATTTTGAGCACTATAATACCTCATGGGATATAAAAAATAGCACCTTGACGCTAGATTGCTTCAAATACAACAATTAAATCTCGAACAAAATAAAAAACGCTTTTTCATACCTAGCTTAATATTGTTCCTAGGACACGTTATGAAACACCGATTTATTGAGATTATAATTGATACAATTTTGGTCATTACATGATTTTTGTTAAAATGTACTTTTTGGAGATATTTGCAAAAAAAACATGAAAAACGCCAAAAAGAAACGGATTTTTAGTAGCCAGTAACTTGAAAAGTATTTGCTTTTTTGAAAAACATTATAAAACATTTTTTTATAATTAGTTCTTCTATCGATATCCGATGTTGCAAAAGAAAACTAATAAAATTACACCACTGAGAATGGATGTCACTTACCCGTGGAGTCTAAATTATTTTCACTTTTGAATTTGAGAGTAAAACGCTCCATTGACTTGAGTAAATTGTTCTGTAATAACATGATCGTACGTGCTTTTAATAAAAATATGAATTTATTCTTCAATGTTAATTAAAGTCCAAGATCTTTGCATGAACGCGGAAGCACGCCATTCCTAGAATTGTCACGTCCAATACATAATATATAGTCAAAATTATTTGTATAAACTAGTGATGTCTTAGGCAAGAATCTAGCCAAGTGATGATGTCTTAAGAGTAATCTTAGATATCATAAGTAAAGATTATGTCTGTTAATTAGAAGAAATAAACACAGTGTATAATATTACAAGTGGATTTTATATTGGAAACCAGAAGTCTATCTCTTTCAGCAAATACCTTACTGAAAGGACCCATTATTCTGAAGAGAGCTATTATCAAACCAGTAAATCAAACATTACTCCTACTGCTTGACCCAAGGCACCAGAAACAGGTTGGACGAGTTATTACTATTGATCTGGAGCGTGGATCTACCAACATCAGACCTCTAACCCATACCTAAACCTTACTACCAACCACGTTATTTCATTTCATGGTGGCAGCGGTGGGATAAACGATGTTTATCTCGGCAATGCTGCCACCTTTAATGCCTTTAGTTCCTCGTGCTAGTCCTGGTCTTGCTGCTTGCTGGATACTCCGTTTTACTTTAATGACTCTGCAGCCTCTGGGTGCAAAGAAAACTGGATCCAGACTTCACTAAGCACTATTCACAAAACTAACACTTCACTACAATTTAAACAGTTCTTCCTATCTTAACAATTCTTCTTTTTCAAAATCTAATTCTTCTTCTTTAGATACATATAAAGGTGTTATTTGTTTACCCCTTTTAAGCAGTTTTTCTTATTTTTTAAAAAAGTTATTTGCCGCTGAAGGTTTTCTTTTGGTTTTCAGTTTTGATAACACTTTCCGTTGCTTTTTTGCTCCTCTTAAATCAAAAACTCCCGCTGATAGGGTTACTGATTCTGTTTACAGGTTGGACTGCAATGATTGCAATAGTTGTTACATTGGTGAAACTTCCCAATATATATACAAGAGGGTTAATCAACATACTTATAATTCCAAAAACCCAAATCGATTCAAAACGATGCTTTCTGAACATATGATAAACCTGAACCACACTTTTAACATGTCAAATCCCTCAATCCTTTACATTGAGAAAAACGGTGACCTTAGAAAGATAGTTGAGTCTTTACTTATATCCCTTAATACGTCTTGTGTAAACAAACGTAATTCCTCTCATCTCTTACATGATAGTTACAAAGTAATTATTAATTTCATGAAAAGTAATTCAATACAGTTTTAGAATCTTTCATTCGTTATATTTCTTTTCTGTTTTTCTTTTCCCTTTCGTTCTTGCTACTCGCTTCCACTCCCATACACGTGCGTTGTCTACACAGCGATGTACTTTTAACCTTGAACAGTGCACACAACGCTAGGCTACCATTAACATTAAATATAGAAGGGCAATATGTGCTCCTCCTATTTCTCGTTTGTTAATTAATAGTATTTTATTATTTTACACAAATTTAGTGTTAAATCAATTTTTACATCATAATTAATGTTTCCTGTTTTTCCTGGTTTGGTATGTATAATTTCCTCCTTTTATATATTTATATTTATCATCACTTGTGTATTTATGTTAAATGTTTTTTTAGATTACTGAATGATGACACACATCAAGTGTCGAAACGTATAATGGAATGAATAATTTTGTTATTTAATCTTTTGTAATTCGACGGTTGGGTTGCAAAAAATTTTACAAATATGTATCAACGTCGACAAAACTTTCATCATATATATATATATATATATATATATATATATATATATATAACTGTGTGTGTTTGTGTGCGTATTAATATGATTTTATTAATCAGAGAGGCATGATTCTACAATGTGGGACAACGTCAAAAATATGCCTTCGACCATCTTGATGCCTCGTGGAATGTCTTATGAACAATATCAAGAATTTCAGAACAACGTTAAAAACGAAAATGTGATGTGGTAATTAACTTTTTATTTAGCATTTTCTGCATTATAAGACAAATTGCTGAAACTTCTTATACTGAAATTAAACATGTTAGCACTTTTTGCTCACTATCTAGGCCTGCCTTTGCCAAATACTGATCAGCACGTCTTCGCATCAATAGAAATTATAATAATTTGAAACAATAATATATGTTGATTCAACTCTTGAAATCGTCGACATAAAATTGTATCACACATATACATACCCACACATACTCACATAAACATACTGACTGAATGACACTTGTATCTACTTCATTTTCCTTAGGTATCAGTACATACAGCGTCAATTAGAGAAACATTTCCAGAAAATGCTGAAAGCCGCAGTTGCAGGCAAAGACTCGAGCAAAACGGTTCACGATAATCCACACTCTGTTAAAAACAAAAGATCATCGTTAGTTGATATAAATAATGAGGAAGAAGACAATGACATTGATAAGGTATATATGAGGTTTTTGTAAAATATTTGATTATCAAGGTAAGTTAGAAATAACTTGCCTATAAGCACATGAATTTTATATCTTCGATAAAATTTATGATCTACTGCGTTAAATAAATAGATCATTTTACACACAATCGTTGAATTACTCCTTCGGATCGAGTGTAAAATTAGTTGCGAAATGAAAACTATTTCTTTTAACAGAAAACACCGAAATTACTTTCTTACAACTTCTTACTATTTTATTTTTCACAGGACGGCAGAGAGATTTCTAGCAAAATTAGTGAACGGGTTCCTTTGCTGCGCGTTTATAAAAATGCTAAAGACTTGAAAGAGCAGGAAAGTTCATCTAATATTGATTGTTATCAATACATAAAAGAAGTGCAGCAGAAGAAGGAGGATCAGATGCAAAAAAATCCTAAAGTCGGTTTTATAATAAAATTTTGATTTAATTATTATTTTATGTGAAATAGATTCACTAGTAGTATTTGTCAGTTGATACAGTACTTAATGTAATTCGCCTTTAACAATTACTTACTAACTTTCTATATGAATCGAATATAATTTTTGCCACCATTTTAAGAGTGGTCTGTAAATCTCTAAATCGGTTTAACAAATATACAATAATTTTTCTTTTATTTTATATTTATCTTTTAAATAAACTTCTGACATTATTATGTACATCAAACACTGTATTATCAAACATTATATTCTGTATCCAATAATTTGACATCATCTAAGTAAAAGCCTCTTTTCGAACTGATTGTTCTTTGGATTGTGATAAAGAACTGCACTGATGATGCCACATCATGACTTATCAATTAGCCCACGATTATAACTACTTGACCTTGAATACCTGTGTCGTAGTTTTATATAATAATTTGATCGAAATCATGAATAAATTTTCAGATTTTTGACAAAAACCTATAATTTGAAATATTTTTTGATTATGTAGTTTCAGAAAATACCCCCTAACATGAAAATGTACCGAGAAGTTGAGAATCCATATGATTTGAAAAAACAGAGACAGAATAGAAACCAAGGTAATTTACTTTCTGGTAGTACTGCAACAGGGGCACGGAAAGGAAGGTGAGATCTTTAAATTTATATTGTTAAAACATTAATTAAAAAGTAAGACATTTAAGATGAATTTATAATTTTGCTCATTGAAAAACTCAATTATTGACATTTTCGGGAAGTTCTAAAGCACTAACTCTAAGAAGGCACTAAGTTTTCCGGAGAAGATAAGTTTATACTTTCACAGAAAAATCTGAGTTCCAAGTCATTCTTAATCGCTTGAGATCAAATTTAGGAAGTATGTGTTTGTGTGCATATGTTTTTTTTTATTTCTCGTCCACGGTTTCTCCAAACGGCAAAGACGATTTCAAACATTTAAAAGCCATTCGATGTAACTCGATATGTATTAGCGGATCAGCCAACCCATTTCTTACTCAACACACTCCTTGTTCACCGAAGGGCATAATTTTATGTATACTAGATCTTTCAAGTCATTCTTAATCACTTGGCTAAACCGATTTCGAAAATTTGAAAAATAATCGAGGTAACTTTATAAGGATCAGTGTTTATCTTCTTTGCTGGACGATCAGCCGACCCATTTCTATTTAACTAACAAAAAAGTCTATTTTTTTGTTTTAATCAAAATCCTGAATCGACTTTAAAAATTGAATAACTGATCGAAAGATATTTATTTAGAATCTTACTGATTCTCAAATTTTTTGGTAATAGATCGGTCAAGCCGTTTCTTCGTAATTGGTTAAAATAAAACAAGATTTTATAAAAACTATTTTTTGACGATAAAGGTCTCAAAGACATACTAGACGACAAGTCGTTCAAATTCTAAAATTTATCTTCTATCTGCGCTTTTTCCAACTAAGTCAGAAATTGATTACTTGTCGACTATTTTATTTTTAACAGCAATTATAATATAGTACAAGCCCATAAGTTATTTTGCCTATGTCGTTCAATCACACACATACACACACACTTTTATATATAAATTATATAATAAATTTCACTATATCGATAGTTGGAGAATCACTCTAATGAGTGATTCACCAATTCTGTTCATTTCTAAGCAGAGTAGGGCGGGTAGTGCTGTAGGTCTTCAATATTATCTTTGGACAGCTTTTTGTAATTAGTGTCAAGAGTGCTGAATGTTGAAGACTGTTTATTTTTATAACTCCTTTTAGGAATTTTATGTTAAAATCGTCGTGTAACGTCTTATTGCTCAAGAACCATGGAGCATTAGTAATCTGTTTCAAATTTTTAGACTTGGCCAGTTGCATTAGAACAATGTTTAATTTGCTAGAACAGCCCTACAATTGTATTCCATAAGTGCATATTGGTTTTATCACCACCTTGTAAATTAGTAATTTATTATCAATAGCCATTATATTTTAGCAGTTCAAATTTTTATAGTTTTTAATTTTGCGAGAGTATGATCTTTCCAAGTCGGTCTCAAATATTTGAACCGATTTTACAAATTTAATAGTCATTCGATGAAACCTGATCAGCAATATAGCGTTTTTTTTTTCAACCTCGTTTTTTAAAAGAAACTGAATCCAATTTGAAAATACAGAAAGCGATCGAAAGATATGAGTTTGAAATTATGCTGATTATTAACTTCCCGAAGGAGAAGTTTGTTTCATAAAAAATCCGATTCGCTAATTTTATGTTTTCTCGACGTTTCAAGCCATTCTGAATCGAATGAGATCAAATTTGGCAAAAGTATGTGTGTGTGTGTGCGTGTATGTGAACAGATTTTTTGCCGTAAATCGACGTTTTCTCAAAAACGGTTGGACCGATTTCAAAAATTTAAAAGCTATTCGATGTATTTTGATGAGGACTAGCGTTTCTTTTGTGCGACGATCGACCAAGCCGTTTCTTTGTAAATCGCAGAAAAGTGAGAAATTTTTCGTCCACGTTTTAGCCCGCAATTCTGAATCGATTTTGAAAATTCAAAAACCGTTCGATAGATATCGGTTGGGAATCGTGCTGATTAGTTTTTGGTAAAGATCAGCCGGGCTGTTTTCTTGTAATAAAGTTTAAGAAAAAATTAGACGATTTTTATTATTATTTTTTTGACGGTAGATACCATAGTCTTCTAGATCATACTAAAATATTACGGCCCTACGACAGCTCGTTTAGCTTTAAAAATTCGTTAAAGTTTGCAAAAATTAGTATGGTCTTTTAAGCATTTGTCAAAATTAGAACTTGTATCGAGGTTTGCTCAAAAACGCCTGAACCGATTTTAGAAATTTAAAAACCATTTGATTTCTTTTCAGCCGTTTCTTTGTAATTTGGAAAAAAGTGTTGAACTTTTCGTCTACATTTAAGCTGATACTACCGAATCAATTTTAAAAAATCAAAAACTGTTCGAAAGATATTAGTTGGGAATGATACTGATTAGTTTTAGGTGAAAATCTATCAGGCCGTTTTCTTGTAATTTATTAACAGTTGAAAAGAAAATTAAGCCGATTTTCACGGAACTTTTTTTGGCGTTATATATCATGGTCTTATAGAACTTACTGAAATATTAATGCCTTACGAAAAGTAGTTTAATTTTAAAAATTTATCAAACTTTGAGAAAATGAGTAGTTCTTTTGACATTTGTTAAAATTAAAATTAAACGGTATAACGATAGAGTACTTGGTCTTAATGAGCATGAGAAACAATTAAAGTCCTACAAAAAACTGGCTCAATTATAAAGATTATTGATTTTTGATTTTTTTTTAAAAAAATACTCCGACCGGGTTGACGTGTTCGATTTTCAATAAATCTACTTCGAATACTTTTAACTACTCATAAATTAATTTATCTAGCATGGATTAAGTCGATTATTTACACAAATCGGGAAGTTCATGTATAATAACTTGCAGGCAAAATACCAATACTAACTAGTTTTTTTAGCAAAATCGCCTTGGTCGTTATTTAGCAATTAAATGTAAAAAACATTTATTGAGTTTTTGACGAAATTTATATAGCGACAGAGTTTATGGTCTAAAAAATATTCAGAAAAATTATGGTTCTACAAAAAGTGCTTCAATTATGAAAATTAATTAAAATGTGGTATGATTTGCAGAGCTTTTGCAAGCTCGTGTATAATTAATTCAATTATTAATATTACAAATTTGATGACTGATAAGAAGTTCAAAACATATCGATTTAAAATGGCACTCAGTAAAACGTTTCAAAGTAAAATGCCACTTACACTTTATTTATTGCTGTTTCAACGAGATTCTCACTGTTTAAAATATTCAACCTATCAACAGAAAATCTCCAAACGTGGATTCTCCCAAACAAACAACCAGACAAAAACAGCGCGAGGTGCAAGATGTGTCTGATATTCAACAATATTATCCGAGCACCAGGTGATAAACTTTATAAAAAATAGAAATTCTGAATAAATTTTGTCACTTATTAATTTTTAGAATGCAACAGCATTTCAATATACAGCAGCAATTGCTGCATAATGATAATCGCACAGCCAAACCAAACAAACGCCTTCAGTCATATTCCACGGCGGAAGATCTGGAGAAGCTGTTAGCAGGAAATGAATATCTTCAGAGAAAGGTTAATAATATTTATTTACTAGGTACACAATTCATGTTTTTGAGTTTAGATTGAAAGTAGATTAAACTAAGGCGAAATTTTATGATATAAGTGTAGGCTGTGGTCCGATATTTTTATTTTTGATAACCAGAGTTATAATATATGATTATAAACCATCTAAAATGGTTTATCCGTTCCCCCGAAATATGTTAGACCTTAACAAGCACAAACACATAATTCACATATTCACTTTATTCTAATATATAGTAATTTATAACATACTAACTGACCCGGTAAACGTTATTTGCTAAGTAAGGTATTTCTAAACAATTTCTAAAGAATAAAAAAAGAATACTTTATTTTTGGAGTGTAAGGATGTGTTGTTTGAATGGTGTAGACAGTGAGGTTTTATAAACAAAATAAAACCCAAAGTCTACTTGTATAATAATGAATTAAATATTTTATAATAACAATATTCGTTCGTCCATATTTTGTTAATATAATCAAACTGGAAGTTTTATATATAAAAATATGGTATAATTCAATCCAAGTTTTTTTTAGTCTTTAGCCATGGTCAATGTTCAGTTGGTCATTTTTGCCCTACACAAATGTAAGTTTTTAAAGGTTGGTTATTTAAAGAAAACTGTTGAATCTCACTCAAAATTAACATTCCATTTTATAAAACAATTAAATAGCGTATAGTTAAATTTATATTAAGGTCTCGTAAACTAAATTACAGTGCTCACACTCAAAAAAACTAACAGCAAAAGGAAATACTTTTGATATGGATTTTCAAAGATTACAGTTATCTCCCGATAGCAAAGTCATGAAAAT